AATAAATAAATAACGGTCCTGTATATATCGCCTGTAAATAGCACGTCTAATAAAATACTTGGTTATCTCTTTAATGCTTACGGCCCTAAGCTAAATTGGCTACGTGGATACAAAGCCTCTCCCCAGGTCGTAACAAAATCGACATCAATCGGAACACACCATTTTAGATAAATTTAAAAATTAACATCAATCGGGTAGTAATCAATTTAAAACCATTCAAAATCTAAGAACCCCAATTGATTACAATTTATATGTATAAAATCTCATTGATTTCATGTAACCAACGGGGGCAAATAGATAATAAGCAAAAAAATCTTAATAAAGACTACCTAATCCGAGGAGCTTAGTGGACAGGGATTCCATTACTATTTCCTATTTTACTGTTAAGTGTTTTAATCTCTTTGCATATTCTATTTTTAATCACAAGAGGGAGGATTGGCTGTGATGGGGTATCCCCATCTGGCTTGTGTGTAACAATACCAGATCTCATATATTGCAACAATATGTATCCAAGTTACAGCCCTTCTTTTTGTTTTTTCCTTAATATTTGCTATTGTGAAAATTTCCTCTAAGGTGCTTGGTGGTGTTTCCGATTCTGCCCCTTTTATAAACCTATATGCAATTCTCCATATCGTTTTAGCTGTCTTACAACTGAGACTGAAGTGTGTTGGTGTTTGTAATTCCCCTGGACATTCCAGACATTCTCCATTATAGTCTTGTATTATATGCGATAGACGGTATCCTTAGGGAAGTGCACTGTGTTGGAGCCACGTCTTCTTTCGAGTAGCCTAGTCTTTGTTGTGATTTAGGTTATGAGAATCGGTGACCCTAAATCCGCACTTTTACAACGTACATACGCAACCAAAGTTACAACTGCTGAGAATTACAATATTTTGTTTAATCCAGTGATCAGTGCCTCTGAAATTGCGTCATTCATTCATATTTCACTAACTCTAATTGGGGAACAAATCAATTGGACAGTGTTATCATTATTATTACAATTAGACATATCTATTAATTTAAATATGCCCGCTATCACCATAATTACATGTTCAGGTTCAATAATAATGCCAGATATCTTTTCTGAAATTCCTTACGAAATTGTAGTCAAAATTCTTACTTTTTTACCTGCAAAAGATCTTTGTTCCATTTCTTTGGTATATTAAGAATGTTTCTATAAATATATTTACAGTGTTGATACAAATAACATTTGCACTACATTTCTATTTTTATTTCCTATTGATCGTAGGTTAACAAAAATCTTCTGTCATTCACCCAAGATGATTACGTTTGGCAATCAATTTGTATTAGTCAATTTCCTGCGAGTCGTATTTCTGAGGAACGAAAAAAAATGATAACAAAGGAGGTCACTTCGCGTGTTCAAAATACGAGCGAAACAATCAATCAATCAGATCAAAATACGAGTGAAACAGGCAATCAATCAGATCAAAATACGAGCGAAACAGGCAATCAATCAGATCAAGATATTTTTGAGGAATCAGATCTAGATATTTTTGAGGAATCAGATCAAGATTTTTTTTTTGAGGAATCAGATAATGATATTTTTGAGGAATCAGATCAAGATACCTTTGAGGAAATCATTTTTATTTCTAACTTGGGTAAGACTACTCCTTCGGTAGAAAATAACAATGATGTGACCGTTAGTGAATGGAAAAGACTTTATAAGAGGCTATGTAAGTCATTAGTCATGTTAGTAATCTACAGGCTCGGATAATAACATAGATCTATGATCTATTTTATCCTTGCTCGTAAACTATACCACATTATTTATGTAAACTTAATTAATAACCGTGAAATCGTGACAATCATTTAATATGTATAGCCAGACATATTAACTTTATTGTCGAAGAACGGGGCGTCACCTGGTTAGATTGTCAAGAACATGGAGGAAATAAACACCATTGGCGAACCATCAAAGATTCGCAAAGGTATGTAAGTCATCATTTAACATTCTCTACATTTTTTACTGTGTATTCGCTTATCATACATTATTTACAAATAGCGAATTTGGAAAAGTTGTTTGTTTAAAATATGTTTGGTGGTTTGATGTGAGTACAATATTTTCCAACTTGCGACAAAACAACTTTAATTACAGTCGTTCTAAAGAAAAAAAATAATTCTAAAGGTTTCGTCGAACTTAAAGGCCGTTCTACCTGGTACATACGACGTTGTATGGCGATTAAAAATTAAAGGAAATAATCACTGGACCATTCAAGGTTTAAACTTTAGCGCAAATGTTATTGAGAGAGTAAGTTTTGGTTTTCTTAAATGTCTTGTTTTTTTATTTTTTATATATAGTCGCATACACGTAACATTCGCATCTTAATATTATTTATATATAAATAGTTAGAAGATGAAATTGATGCTGAAACTGCTATTCATGATGAAAAACTTTATAATCACACTCCACATCGTTCATTGTACGCCAATATTGCCGACAAAAATGAAT